CAATAATATATAAACAAAATTTCATAAAATTCCACATATACACACAACAATTCATAATTGACCCACTAACTTATAAAATTAAATATATACACAATTATTCCTAAAATTTCGAAAATATACACAATAATAATATATTCAAAATTCAAAAAATATATATACATAACCATTTTTAATTTATAATATATATATATATATATATATATATATATATATATATATATATATATATATATATATATATATATATATATACGTACGTACCTTGCAGGAGAGGCGGCGACCGGCGACGACGTTGGGCGACCGGCGATGACGTTGGGCGACGGCGAGGACGGCGGCTTAGGGCGACGGCGAGCGAGGCCGAGGCCGAAGACGACGGCACTGTTGCGAGCGAGGCCGAGGACGACGTCGACGTGCGGAGAGCGAGGCCGACGACAGTGGACGACGGCTTAGGCGGCGGTGGAGAGCATCGGTGGCGTAGGGCGTTCGGCGGCGGTGGCGTACGGCGTTTGGAGCAGTGAGCAGTGAGCAGAGAGCGTACGACGTTTGGAGCGTTTGGAGGAGTGAAATATTTGGAGCTAGCTAGGGCGTTTGGAGCTGAGCAGTGAGCTGTATGTACCATTATTTTTTTTATGTATACGGCGTTTGGAGCTAGCTTGTTCATTATTTTTTTTTAATTTATGTATACGGCGTCGGCGTTATACGACGCCGACGCCGTATACCATTTAAATATATATTTTTTTAATTATAGTAGATACGGCGTCGGAGATAATTCTCCGACGCCGTATCTACTATTTTTTTTTTTTTTTTTAAAATTCGAGTATACGGCGTCGGCGATATACGTCGCCGACGCCGTATACCATTTTAATTTTTTTTTAATTATACGATACGGCGTCGGAGATTTAACTCCGACGCCGTATCTCCTATTTATTATTATTATTATTTTTTTAATTTGAGTATACGGCGTCGGCGTTATACGTCGCCGACGCCGTATACCATTTTTATTTTTTTTTTAATTATTAGAGATACGGCGTCGGAGATTAATTCTCCGACGCCGTATCTACTATTTATTTAATTTTTTTTTTAAATTCAAGTATACGGCGTCGGCGATATACGTCGCCGACGCCGTATACCATATATATATATATATATATATATATATATATATATATATATATATATATATATATATATATATATATTTTATTTGAGATACGGCGTCGGCAACGTATAACGCCGACGTCGTATCTCGTATTTATTTTTTATTTATTTTTTATTTAATATACGGCATCGGCCATACCAAATAACCGACGTCATATGTATTTTTTTAAAAAATAAAAAATAATTTTAAATATTTAACGTCGGATTTTCAAAAAACCGACGTTATAATGTAGACGTTAAATCCGTTTTCTGTTGTAGTGGATCAATCCCCCTACCAAGAAGAAAAGTCAGTCTGTTGAAAAGAACTCTGAGATTTTGTGTAGTAGTGTGTCCATTGAGACATGGCACAATAGGTTGGGTCATTATCCCATGAATAAAGTGAAAATGTTGAAAGGAATAAAAGTTGCTTCTCCCCATGTTACTTCTGATCTTATATGTGACACTTGTTATTTTGCCAAACACAAAAGATCTACATTTCCTGTTAGCATTACAAAATCTGAGAAGTGTTTTGATCTCATACATATGGATGTTTGGGGACCATTTGCTGTGGCATCTCTAAAAGGAGAGCATTATTCTCTGACTATTGTGGATGATTGTAGCAGATTCACATGGTTGCATCTTATGAGACATAAGTCTGAGGTTAAATCCATATTTCAAAACTTCTACAATTTTGTTTCTACTTAGTTTAGTGCAAAGATCAAAATGGTTAGAACAGACAATGGAACTGAGTTTCTTATGAACACCTTTTTTCAATGACAAAGGGATTATTCACCAAAGGTCTTGCACTTACACACACCAACAGAATGGGGTAGCAGAAAGGAAACACCAACATATTTTAAATGTGGCTAGATCTCTGAAATTCCAGTTTGGACTGTCTGATACTTTCTGGGGCCATTGTGTTTTGCATGCCTCATACCTCATCAATAGGCTCCCTACTGAGGTCCTTGATGGAGATACCCCCTTCCAAATCATGTATGGCAAGTGTGTTGATTACAATCATTTGAAGTCTTTTGGCTGTCTTTGTTTTGCTGCCACCATACCGCAGGGAAGGAACAAAATGCAGGCCAGGGCCAAGAAATGCATCTTCTTGGGGTTTCCTGCTGATATAAAAGGGTATAGTATATGATGTGACTGACAAAGTTGTTTTTGTTTCCAGGGATGTTGTCTTTCATGAGCAGGCATATCCTTTTAAAAGAGACAATTCTGATTTTGAGCATGAGATTTCTATGCTAAGATTGTTTGATCCACCTCTACCCTTGGTGCCAATTTCTGTGGAGGCAGAAATCACCCCTCTAAAGTCAGTTCAGAGAAAAGAAGTTCCTGGCCAGTCTGATGAGTTGGCCAGATCCACACTCAGAAGTGATCAGCCCACAGATGAGCATCTTGATTATCAACAGAATGATCACCTCTCAGATGACCATGCTCAACAACCTAACTTGGACAGCCATATAAATGATCATGACAATATTGATGAGCAACAATATGAGTGTAGCCACAGTGATCAACCACAATTTGAAATCCACCTCAATAGTCCTAGTGATCATGTTGCACAGCAACAACCAAGGAGATCCATGAGAATGAGAAACATTCCCTCTAAGTTTCAAGATTACATCTGTCAGTCTGTTGCATCTAGCCAGACAAGCTCACCTCACCCTATCAGTCAGGTTATCTCTCTCCAAGGATTGTCACCTGCTCACAGATTCTGTGCAGCCTCTATTTCTTCTTCTCATGAGCCTCAGTCTTACAAAGAGGCAGTAATGCATGAGGAATGGAGGAAAGCTATGGAAGTGGAAATAGAAGCTCTCATTCAGAACAACACATGGATCCTCACTGACTTACCTAAAGGAAAATCCCCCATTGGCTATAGATGGGTGTACAAAGTGAAGCATAAGGCAGATGGTTCCATAGAAAGGTACAAAGCTAGACTTGTTGCCAAGGGGTACACTCAACAGCTAGGTGTGGATTACATTGAGACTTTTTCCCCTGTGGCAAGGATGACCAACATCAAAACTTTTTTGGCTGTGGCTGCTGCCAAGGATTGGAATGTTCAACAACTTGATATCAACAATGCTTTTTTTCATGGAGACTTAGAGGAGGAAGTGTATATGGTTCTACCACCAGGTTTTCAAAATGCCAAGCCTAATCAAGTTTGCAAACTAATGAGATCTCTGTATGGGCTCAAGCAAGCAAGTAGATAGTGGAATGCAAAGTTGACTAAAGCCTTATTGCTTAATGGTTTTCAACAATCTCAAGCAGATCCTTCTCTCTTCACCAAGTAGTCAGAAGGCTCCTTCTTGGCCTTATTGGTTTATGTTGATGACATTCTAGTGGCAGGAACTAATTCCATCCACATTGATGAATCGAAGCAAATGTTGGATAAAGCCTTCAAGATCAAGGACCTTGGCCATCTCAATTACTTCCTAGGAATTGAAGCCTTCAGAAATCATCTTGGTATCAATATCTGCCAAAGGAAGTATGCCATGGAAATCTTAGCAGAAAATGGTTTCCTTGAAGCCAAGCCTGCCAAAACTCCTGCAATCACAGGCCAGAAACTCACTTCTCTTGATGGGAGATTACTTGAAGAACCTGAAATCTATAGGAGGTTGATTGGGAAACTTCTCTACTTAACCAACACTAGGCCAGACATATCTTATGCTGTCCAGCAACTTAGCCAGTTTGTGGACAAGCCTAGGGATACCCACTTAACAGCAGCTCATAGGGTGTTAAGATATCTAAAAGGAGCACCTGGAAAAGGTCTACTTTACTCTGCAAATTCAGAAGTTAAGTTGCAAGGCTTCTCAAATTCAGATTGGGGAAATTGTATAGAAAGCAGGAAATCCATCACTGGTTTTTGCATCTATCTTGGAGCCTCCTTAATCTCATGGAAAACAAAAAAGCAAGCCACTGTTTCAAGGTCCTCTTCTGAAGCAGAATATAGAGCTTTAGCATCAACAACATGTGAATTTCAGTGGCTTCTATACTTGCTAGCAGATTTGAGAATAGTCTTTAATACTCCTGTGGCTCTATATTGTGACAACAACACAGCCATTGCAATTGGGGAGAACTATGTGTTCCATGAACGAACTAAACACAATGAACTTGATTGTCATGTGGTTAGGCAAAAAGTGAGTGATGGAATAATCAAGTTACTGGCAGTATCCTCTCAAAATTAGACTGCAGATGGTTTTACTAAAGCTTTGGCCAAACCAAGCTTTGATGTGTTTCATGCTAAGCTAGGCCTTCAGGATCTTCATGCTCCAGCTTACGGGGGGATGATGAAACAAGCCTCAGCCTTGCACATTCCTTTACACCAATGCACAACAGCTCAGCTCACTGGAAAGAAGAATCAGAATCAGCCCTGAGGGCTTTCTTGTCTTTTCACCTTTTTGGCAGTTATAACTGCCATTCCCTCCATCTATCTAGCATATAAGACTTCTGTTGTATCATTGTTGCTCCTGATCTATTCATTTCACTCAGATTCAATACACACTCACCTTCTCTCATGTAATCTCTTCAGTCAATTCCATCTTCTTCCATTATGCACTAAGTTTTCCATCACTTGGAAGAACAGAGCTGAAAACTAGCAGTTGTTCTAAAGAATAAGAACTAATATGATTAAGAGCGAAAATTAAGTCTAAACAACTTAAAACATCATTTAAAACCTTAAAAATCATATGGAAATATATAAGCAGTCTTTTCTACAAAACTAAGTTAGAGTTAAAATTGATAGTTGGACTGCAGATTTATTATATACATACTATGTTCAACAACTACAATATGGAGTTAACTTGAATAAAACAGTAATTTATAATCAAAATATAGTGAAGTGAAGCAATGATTACCTATGGTGGTAGAGGTTAGTTGCTTGGCTGATCATTCTAACCATGTTCGGGTTAATATGTTCTTCAGTCGATTTACAGAGAGTCACTGTGCATCTCAGTCAGCCTCTGCAAATGTGCATGAACTCCGGCTGACATAAGTCTCTGTGCATCTCACTATAACAAAATGTCAAGCATCAAGATTTTATAAATCAAGGACAGATCCATAAATTTTTTTCAGTGGGGTGGAGTGGCAGTGCGGCGGTACAGCGGCGGTACAGCGGCGCGGCGGTGAGGCGGGAAGGGTTGCGGTTGTGGGCAGGTGCGGCGGTGGCTGCGGTCTGCTGTGCGGAAGACGAAGAAGAAGAGGAAGACGTCGACGGCTGCGGTGCGGCGGTGCGGATGGCTGAGACGTGGTGGTGCGACGTCGATTTGGGAGGAGACGGTGGGCGGCTGCTGGGTGTTTTGTGGATGGTGGGGAGAAGGAAAACGGGAGTTGCTGCTAAGTGAAAATAATTTCAAAACAGCTTCACCCGAGATCTATTTTAACAACCCTATAATGTCGGCTATTAACCAATAGCCGACGTTATAAATAAAAAATTAAAAATTAAAAAAATTAAATAACCTACGACGTCGGCTATCTATATAGCCGATGTCGTATTGTATTTATTTTTTTATTTTTTATTTATAACATCGGCTATTTGGTAATAGCTGACGTTATAAGTTTTGTAAAAAAAAAAATTAAAATAGGCTTTAACGTCGGCTATGTATATAGCCGACGTTAAAGGCCCGACGTTATATGTGAATTCTGTAGTACTATACAAGAGGTATAACCCCATGGATTCCTCTTTAAAATTGGCTCTGTGAAGCCTTAGTTTTGATGTGTTCATGCTTAAAAGTGATTTAGTATTTGTTTGTGAGTTGTTGAGATTGTTTTGGACTTGTTTGGATTAGATTTTGCAGATGAAAAACCTTCTGGTGCACAACACAGTGTGCACCAGATCAGATGAACGGCCCTAGCCGCGGCCCATCAGGAGGGCCGCCGGCTAGAGCCGTGCTTGCACGGGACTAGGGCACGGCCCTAGAGGACGGCCGCTGCCTAGTCCCGGTGAAGTAACAGGGTGTAAGGGGCGGACCATGAGGAGTCCCGCCCCAGGCCCCTGACTTTGATTCTGATAAGAATCTGTGCAGTGGCCAGGCCCTTGTGGCTCAACTACGTGTCGTTTTGGGTCGAGTGTTACGGGCCCTTGTGGCTCGACTCTTCGGGACCGTCTCGACGCACGTTTTGGCTTTGATTTTATTGATTTTGGATTTAAAATGAGTATGTTATGAAGGAAATTGTGAAGAAATACTACACAGAGTATATATTTTTGCTATGCACTGTATATGAGAAGTTGATATCTTTGTGATCTGTTTGATGTTTTATTAAGTATAGAAGCATGATCATTTGAGAATGTGATTCACTATTATAGCATGTTTAATTGCGATTATTTGATCAATGAGAATGGAAGCATATTTGTTGAAGTGAAATGTATAGAAGTTACCTATTTGAAAATCGAGCATGACATTATATTTTGAATTCTTCATGTTATTTTATACATGACTTAGAAGCATGTTATAGAGCATTTTGGCATTTCACATGTGTCATATTTCAAAAATGCATAAGGGGCTAACGTTAGACCAAGAATACTTTAAAAAACCATAAGCATGTGGTATATCATTCTTTGATGCATTTAGAAGTAGTAGAGTTGTTTGCATGCATGGGATTGATGCGTGAGGGATATATTTATGTATTATCTATATCGGTGAGGTTTTGGAGGATACCGTTTGGACTATGTCCCCGCGAGAGATATTTATGGAAATTGCGGTCCCAGTATATGTAACGCGACGTATTCCCACGTTACGAGGTTGGAAACTGCCCACCAGGCTTGGAATCCTGGTTAGGGGGTGTGCACACTAATAGTTCGATACCTAATTCCACAGAGTTTGAGCCACGAGATTGGTTCCGTAGACGGTAGGAGATATTGGGTCAGATTTATGCCGTTCCCGATGGTGTAATTCACGCTTTGGTGAAACCCTAAGCCGTCTACGAGTACAGAGAAAGAAAGAGAGTCAATAGAGACTCAAGAAAGAGAGTCAATAGATACTCAAGAAAGAGAGTCAATAGAGACTTAAGAAAGAGAGTCAATAAAGACTCAAGAGAAAGAAAGAGAGTCAAGAGAGACTCAAGAAAGTAAGAAAGAGACCTCCACAGAAAGTATTCTATTTTATAAAAGAGTATGAGTATTTATATATCTATAGTTGCACGAGATTGCATGTGATTATATTATTGCACTAGATTGCATAAGAGTATGATTATATTGTTGCACGAGATTGCATATGAGTATGAGTATATTACTGCACTAGATTGCATAAGAGTATGAGTATATTATAGCACTAGATTGCATATGATTATATTATGGCACTAGATTGCATATGAGTATGATTATATTGTTGCACGAGATTTCATATGAGTATGATTATATTATTGCACGAGATATGAGTATGAGTATATAGTTGCACAAGATTGCATATGAGTATGAGTATATAGTTTCACGAGATTGCATATGAGTATGTATATAGTATTGCATGAGTTTGCATAAGAAGTATGATTATAGCATTGCACGAGATTGCATATGTGAGTGCTGTATAGTATTACACCAGATTGCATGTGAATAGAGTATCGTATGAGATTTTATAATGAGAAATTTGACTTGAGATTTTCTATCGAGCATGATTATCTTGTTGTACTAGAAGCTCTATTTATCTAGTTATGTGATGAGAATGTGAAAGCATGAGAACACCTGTTATATGGGCTATTAGCATGATCCTATCTGTAAGCATGAATTGCTTAATAAGTTATTTGAGAAGCTTATATGTTGATGAATCTATGTGAACAGTCTTATACATATATGAGCATGGCAGCTGATATTATAGGGTGCAAGCATCTAGAAAGAATGTGATAAATCTAAAGATGAATTGAGATGAGCTTTTTGTTATAAAGAAATCAAATGTTTTCTAAGCAAATGCTAGAATGCTTTACAGGGTTGAGTGTGGTTATACTTAGCTTTGTGCTAACGGGTGTTTTCCTATTTGTCTATGTGTTGCTTGCAAAACCCCTTTCAGGTGGGCCCAACAGTGTGAAGAAGTAGAGTTAGATTAGTCTCGTAGTTAGAGATATCTAAACTCTAGTTCGACTGATGTTTATGTTATGGATCTAGACTTATCGAATTTATGTTTTGAGGATGATGTAGACTATTTAGGGTGATGTATTTCCCCCTTATGTTTTCAGTTTTTGTGATGGATGCCAGACTTTTACTTTATTTCTAGTTTTACCCCTTTAGCCTGTGCAATCACCACGGAATGGTGGTTGTGGCGGTGACACTCCCACTGTTTATCTTTTAGTTTTTCCGCTGCTTAGTGACGTTAATGGCTGTTTAGAGTCGTAATTAAGAGTTAGAAAAGTGGGGTGTTACACTTGCGCCATTCCCGATGGGGCAATTCACGCTACGATGAAACCCTGAGCCGTCTACGAGCGAAAAGAAAAGAAAGCGAGTCAATAGAGACTCAAAAGAAAAGAAAGTGAGTCAAGAGAGACTCAAGAGAAAGAAAGCGAGTCAAGAGAGACTCGAGAGAAAGAAAGTGAGTCAAGAGAGACTCAAGAGAAAGAAAACGAGTCAAGAGAGACTCAAAAGTAAGAAAGAAAGAGACCTCCACAGAAAGTACCCTATTTTTACAACGAGTGTGCATGAGTATATATTTATAGTATTGCACGAGATTGCATATGAGTATGATTATAGTATTGCACGAGATTGCATATGCGTATGATTATAGTATTGCACGAGATTGCATGAGTATGATTATAGTATTGCACGAGATTGCATATGAGTATGATGTATAGTGTTGCACAAGATTGCATTTAAATAGAGTATCGCATGAGATTACATGATGAAAATGTTAATTTAAGATTGTTCATCGAGCATGATTATTTTGTTATATTTGAAGCCTTGTATATCAAGCTTATGTGAGAGTATGAGAATATCTGTCAAATGATTTATTAGCATGATCCTACCTACAAGCATGAGTTGTTTGTTAAGTTAATTGAAGTGTTTATATGTTGAAGTAACTAAGTGTTCAGTCTTATATGTATATAAGCATGCCAGTTGATATTATTGGTTGCAAGCATCTAGAAAGTATATGATGGATCTAAAGATGTATATGAGATGAGTTTGTTGTATACAAGTGAAATCAAATGTTTTCAAAGTATATTTTATAGTACTTTACAGGGTTGAGTGTGGTTATACTTAGCTTCGTGCTAACAGGTGTTTTCCTATTTGTCTATGTGTTGCTTGCAAAACCCCTTTCAGGTGGGCCCAGCAGTGAGAAGAGATCGAGTTAGACTAGTCTCGTAGTTTGAGATGTCTAAACTCTAGATATGTTGATGACTTGTTTTCGGATTTTAGACTCATTGTTGTTGTTATGGTTTTGATGGTGATGTAGACTTTTGGGGTGACTTTTGCCCCTTATGTTTTAGTATTTGTTATGGATGCCATCTATTTATGTTATTTCTAGTATTACCCCTTAGCCTGTGCAATCACCACGGAGTGGTGGTTGTGGCGGTGACATTCCCACTAGTTATCTTTTTAGTTATTATTTCCGCTGCTTAGTTTATATTAATGTTTGGATTAGAGTTGTGATTAGGAGATAGAAAAGTGGGGTGTTACACCTTAGCCATATCTAACTTTAAGGCCCCCCAACCTGTTAGACCACACTGTTTCCTATTCAAATAGTGTCCCACCTCCGTAGCTATAAGAATATTATTAGTAATTAGCCTTCCAGAGATGAAAGCACTTTGGGATTCGGAGATTATGTCTCCCATAAGTGGTTTCATCCTGTTAGCTATTACCTTTACCATAATTCTATACAATACATTACTTAAAGCAATTGGCCTCATATCAGCTACTGTCTCAGGCATATTCTTTTTTGGGATTAAAATCACATTAGTATCGTTCAAAACCTCAGGGATAGTGCCAGAATTCAAGCAATCTATGATAAAAAGCAGA